CAACAAAGGAATTCAATATGTAATATGAGCTAATAAAGGATTTCAATATGAAACAAAGGAACTCAATATCCAATAAGCATCCAGTATTCAAATTGAGCTATAGTCAGAGTAAAGGATCCAAGAGATATCCTGTGATAGGTTGAAATAGGTGTAACTTCTGAACTAATAGAGATAAGGGGGTAGTTGTAGTGGGTGACTAGGGGTTATTTTACCTCAGGAATCCATTTTTGATGTTTATTTTACCTTATATCTGATGTAGAAAAAGATGAGAATAAATTTTTATATTTTTAGCGTAGAAACACAGGAATAACTACCACATCGACTATTTGCATTGACAATTAGAGATGTCACTCAATACCCAGGTACCTGTAGCGGGTGCGGGTACCTGCCTCAAAAATCCAATATTTTTGACACCCGCACCCACACCCACACCTGCACCTGCTAGGGCTGCCAGGGCGGATACCCGGGTACCTGCGCCGGGTACCTGTGGGTACCTGGCACATTTTTGCAGACAAATATACCCAGAAATCTCACCCTTGAATTTCTGCATGACTTGGTAAATATAAGATTGATATTCACTAGATATATGAGTAAGAATAAAATAAAAATAAAGAAATAAAGAAAAACAAATTATTCTATCACCAATTTGAATTTTATCTTCTCTCTGATCTATCTTTAGCTTTACCCTTTTGCTTGGCCTCATTTGCCTTATTCAATTTCCATTGATGAAGACTGTACACAACGGTGCAACATATACGAGACATGTATTTGTATTGGAATGTATCGTCTTTATTTGTATCAGTATTTTTTTGGTTGGTGAAAAAAATCCATTGTCTTGGATTTGGATTTACAAATGAAAAAAAAAAATTGTCTTCGTTTTTTTTGTTTTTTCTTCAATACGGCCAAATATCTTGTGTATCAAATACGTTTTTGGTGGGATCAGTCATCTGAGGTGATACTGAATACTTGTCTCACTTTCCAAAGACGATGCATGTGTATTGTCTCAGGAAAGTGAGACAACACAAATCCAGTATTTTTGGGTATTCAAATTCTGAGACAATACAAATAAACGCCTGATACTGTATTGTATCGTACCTGTTTCACCGTTGCTGTACACTGTCTTTATGACTGGAGGAATTCCTCCAGTCATCAAGACTGTACACCATCTCAAAGGCCAGAGGGAACCCTCCAGCCTCAACAAAGCAACCAGATTAGTTCAGCAACACATGTAGGACACCAGCTGGTGTCCTACATGGGTTGCTGACACCTTTTTGCAGCCCAACACACCCAAAAAAGGGAGTGTTGGACCACCAATGATAAATTAAATTCTTCAGGGGAAGCATTCCCAGGGCAGGTGTAAGGCGGGGAACCCAGTTACCTGCCTTTTTTTACTGCAAATGTTGAGACCCGCACCTGTTTTCACCGCAAATCTTGACACCCGCACCCACACCCATTTCCGGTGTGGTAAGCCAATCTTGAATAAGAGGCCCACAAAATCAAAGCCTCAAGCACAATATCAAGCCCTCTGGACAGCAATACCCTCAAGGACCAAGACAAGCCCCCTTTGGAATATTCAACCAACCTGCAACACCATGGATGTCACAAGACCAAGCCCCCTGGACAGAAGACACTCTGGATTGACTTTTCATTTCTTTATTACATAATCATCTCATGCAGTCTTACATCATCAATCCCCATTCAGCCTTCCACACTTGGCCTCTGCATGTGTTTCACTCTTATATTCCACTTTCACTCTAGTCTCATTTCCACTTTGGGCCACATTTCACTGTTTCACACTATTCCTCTTGGGTTATATGCATGTCTCACACTAGTACACATTTGGCTAGTTCATTTATCTCTTTGGTATATTCTTCCTCCCTCATTGGTTGTGGCACATTTCATCCCTGCATGTCTCTGATGTCATTTTCCCCATTTTTCTTAGTCCCTACCAATTGGGCCACCGTGTTTCAGTTTGATAATTTTCTCTTGTTCCATTTTGTTCCATGGTGTTTCCAACCACAAGCTGGCTACTCCCCAGATTTTGTATATAAGGAGCCTTGTTTTTCCCTCTTCATTTGTTGATCATCAGATCCTGCCCCAGCAATCCAGATAACTGATCACCCTTCATTAGCCTAGTAGTTGCCCATCAACATTTGGGATACTAGTATTATTCAGACAGAAGACAAGAAGACAGAAGACATACCCATCTCAAGAATCCTCCAAAGCCACACCTTTCCTTAAGAGTCCACACTCTTATATTTTCTTGTTATCTTACTCAACCCAGTTACCAGAGAGGCAGCCCATTAAAGCATCTTTCCCTCTCCAGCTCTATTCATCCCAAGAGTAGTTTCACACCGGGTAACCACTTTGGAAAACAGGTACCCACAAACGGGTACCAGGTACCTGCTGACATCTCTATTGACAATATTGATATGGAGGAGAGTACATAACATTAACGTCTTGGTTGGAAACCAATCACACATTTTCCGGGGGACCTGGGAATACATCCACATTCCCAACCCCAACTTTGTTTTGTCACTCAATTTGTCTGAATTGGTGTTGGAAGCCTACCTAGATTCAATTGAAAAGTCCAAATCAATGAAGATTGAACCCTGCATGTTCCTTCCAACTCTGGAGTCTGATGCAACCGAAATTGCAGTTTGGAAGAGTCAGATAGCAATTGTATTAACTAAGTACTTGGCCTTGCCAAAGGATCCTTCAACTGTGATATCAATGACCCCACTGGTTGTGGAACAGATAAGCGCTAAGAAACCCAATATTCGGATGCTCAAGTTAATGGTCACTTTGGACAACTTGGCTGAAGGGGTGGGCCAAGTATTCCAAATGATACTTGAGCAATCTGGCCTCTCAAAGGAAGAGTTCTTTGGCTGCCTGCAACCCATGGATGGTGATTTGGGAAAGGTGTGGAAAGTAAGACGCGCCCTTGTAGATTTCTTGCACTTCTCCGCTCAGCAACACGTCCTACTCTGGTTTGTTGTCCGGGGTAGCTTGCTTGATGGTCTGTAGGTAAGTAAAATAACTATTATTTTATTGATTTTTGGTAGGTAATACTCTAACTCTCTACATCTAACAATTCTCTAGGCTAATACACAATTCACTCCTAAGTCACTCTGTTTTTCTGATATGTTCTGAGCCATCCCTCTCCCCCTTCTACTCCAAACTCCACTCTTGCCAGCTATCCCACACACAAGTTTCCTCCTGCTTCCCACGCGGTCCTCCGCTGTCACTCCCTCGCACTCCGCTTGTCACCCCTCTGACGCCTGCCAGTCAGTGTACTCCTCCAGCCCCCCTTGGATAGGTCCCCCACCGCCGCTTCCGCCTCTGGTCCGCTCCAAACCCCACTTCTGCCTCTCGGTGCTCCCGCTCCCTTGTAGCCCCTCCGCAGCATACACTAAACCCCAGTCCGCAGTCGGCCGTGAACCCCGAAGTCCGCCAGTGCCCGGATTCCCCGCAGCAAGCTTTTCGGAACCTTGCGCATTTGACCTGCTTTTCCCCGCTATCCCGTGCCTCAGAAAGCTTAGACTTTCCACTAACATTCCGCCGCTTTCCTCAGCTTGCATGTGTAGCGTCAGCTCCGCATGCTTTCCACATCAGCCGCGGGCGTTCCACATACACCCAAACAATTTGTCCAAAGCTTTGGCCACGGCTCGCTCTCACCACCACAATGGGTCAAAACTTTAATTGCCTCCAATCTCAACGGGCACTCAGTGCATATCCTGAGAATCAGCTGAACAACATCTTTTTCCAGTTGGGAGCTTCACATACTTTGTGGAACATTGCCTCGGCCATTTTCACCCATCACTTTGGAAATATGAAGGACTCCAAAGACTGCGGTGCCTGGCAGTACACCACTGGGCCAGTCAAATGGTTACACAACCCTCATTTGAAAGGTTGTGCAGCCGTGTCATTTTGCTGAGGGACCGACAGTCCAACAACGTGATAAGGTTGTCGAGTACGGTTGGAGGAACGATAACTTCCCCATGCTCTAACGTTCCTCCAACCGGAAGTCTTCCAGCTGGGTTGCCCATCCGGTGGGTGGTGGGTACCTCCCACCGTGTGCTCACCTTTTCTGTTACCTCCCACCGTGTGCTCACCTTTTCTGTGGTGGGTGCAACACATCACTGAGCCGTTCTCATGACCGGTTTCTCCAACCTCTGGCACTCCGTAGAGCTCTTCATCTCACGGATTTGATCCAGACAGATGAATCCAATTCAATTGAGCGGATTCTTCTGCTTTTTGTCTGTTTTGGGATGCAGATCCTTAAATTTACGTTTGATGAATCTGATCGATCAGATCAATCGTTGTGATTGTTTGATCGATCTGATCAATCAGATCAATCGTTGTGATTATCTGATTGAGTGGATCAATTGTTGTGATTATCTGATTGATTGGATCAATCGTTGTGATTTATTTGAAGCTAATCTTCAATTATATGTTTTGTACTTGTTGCTAGTAAATTTTGAATTGACACCATCGAATTGTAAACATGTTACAGTTAGAATAGAGAGAATGAAGTTTTTTTGACTCCATATGATGAACCTTTTGTGTTGATGCTCACTTGTTCCTTGATCAAGTTTTGTTTCCAGCACGTCAATCGCATGAGGTGGCCATGGCTTGTTGAATATCGTCTTTGGTTGGCAGCACAGAGACATCGAGTCGGAGCTGAGCGAATTGCTTTGGTGAGCCAAAGAAGTACTTATCATTTTGGATAATCAAATTGGACCATCTAAATATTATTCACAAAACGTAAAGGAAAAGGTGAATCAAACTTGATCACACAGAGAGATACCAAACAAAAGGCTTACACGATGAAATAATCAGCACCTTTTGTTTTAAGATACTGTAGTTGTTTATTGATTGGTCCCCATTGAGCCGCCCGAGCAGATGATGTACCCAGAGCATAGATGATCATTTCCAGTCGCATGTATGTGAACCGAACCTGAGCAATAAGTGGAATTTTATTGGGGGCGAAAAACTCGCCGCCATAAGGCAAATGCTGTTGAATCTGTTGGTTAAAAATTTCAGCATTTAAGTTGTCTTTGAAGTGCAAGATTGCTGAGGATTTCATAACTTACATGATTATAGAGCTTTGAAATTGTTGGAACATCTCCACTGCGGAATTCGAAACACTGTTGGGAATGATGTTGAAAAGCAGTTGATGTGTAAAGGAAAAATGGGACATGATTTAGTGTATGGCTCACAACAAAGCAAGCCAAATGCAATTAGAATGAACTTACACATCCTTGGAGTGTCCCCTTCTTGGATTTGATTGTTTCTTGAATCTGTTCTCTCACCGCCTGGAGAACAGCTTGGTTCCGGTCAATAAACCCTGTAGGCAATAGCAACTTCTTGTCGTGTGCAGAAAGATCAGCTATGAATTTCTATGAGGGTAGAAAGTAAATGGTCAAATCGTAAGTCAGTCTAGGAGAACTGAAGATGAATCACATTTTTCATATGCAAAAGTGAAGCTGCAATTATTTCCCCAGTATCAGTATTATGCTCCAAGCTGTATGTATCAAGCTTGCATTCCATTAGAGTCTTTTGGACAAAATTCCTGAGGTTGGTCTGTGAAATGAAAAATCAATACCGTTACACAATGATAATCCAAAAGGAATTGCGACTTGAACCTGTATATAACTTGACTTACCTTGATGAGATCGCCCAGTCTGATCTTTTGGACTTTTGTAACTCCAATTGGGTGTACGTCTGACAAGCTAGCCTGAGTTTGGCTTGCTTTTCCATGAATTGAGACTGCGCTGTAGACCATTGCAGCTTGTTGATCAGCTGGGCTATCTACATCAAAGTCCAATATCAAGCTATCAGCAATTGGCAAAGAGTCTAGAGTCAATCAGGAGAAAACCGTACTTGCAATATCTCCTGAGCTACACCAGCCTCAAGAGTACTCAAACTGAACATCTTTTTTAACAAATTGTGGTTGACCTCATTGTTTGAATTTTCAAGTCCCAAGATGGTGGTAGAAGACTTTTGAGTGTGCGAGTGGTCTAGTGAGAGGAGGAAATTCCCAGAATTGGATGAAGTACGATATTGTAGGCTGGATTTGTTTGGATCAACTTCAGATGATCCAGCTGGATTCATGAAGTCGTTTTCGTTGTGGTATGTCCATACCTTTCCATGTATCCTCATTTTTCACATTATTTCTACAAATATTCTTCCCAGTATTATTTCATATTCAGATTCTACACATCATTTCACCCCTAGTCACCTCTTACAGCTTTCCAGTAGCTCTTTTAGTTCTCTAGTTATCATCATCTCAGTATATTCATAGTTATAGAACAGTACATTACTTCCAAGTTCATACATACAGTACATATACATTACACATTATCTAGTTACAGTATCTATGTAGCATCACTCCTTCATCATAGTACATCATCTTAACTACACTACATCATATACATATTTCTCTTCACACAGCTTTGACTTTCCATCTATGATTAGCACTTGTATACACAGAACATCTATCTCTGGGTTACTTTATTTCCCATCACACATTACTGTTTAATATTTACATTACCCATAGCCAGGATCTCCCCAGCCATGGTGCTTTGCTGTTGTATGTACAGTGGGTAGACAGTGAAAAGTGGCTGTTTATTTTGGATTCCAGAGCTTCAAAACACAGACTTGAAGTCATGAGACTTGGTCAGGTGCTGCATAATAGGTGACAGAAAATGAATATGAAAAAATAAAAACAAAAAATAAAGTTTCAAAATTTCTGAAAAATAAAAAATTAAACTGATTTTTTTCAAAAGCTTTAATATTCATTTTGGGGGAGTGAAAGTGCTGAGAGAAAGGATGATTGGGATATTACAAGAATGCTTATGAATGAAAATTTTGGAAAAATTGGTTTCCAGATGGCTTCAAACAGCTGTTGAGTGGGGCATTCACCAGCCCACATTGCAGTAAAGCACTAGAATTTACTGTTTTGGCTCCAATATGGACAAACAACCTGGCCAAACCTTTTTTGGTTCCAATTTTTTTTCATTTATAATCATTCTTCCCATGTCCCATTCTTTCTTTCTCTCAGCACTCCCACTCCCCCAAAATGAATATCAAGGCTTTTGTTGAATTTTTCGCTCTTCGATCTCACTCTCTCCTCCTTTTTTCCTCTCTGTCATCTGTCACTTGTTTATCACCGACTTTTCTCTTATTCAATATGCATAAGTTTCTGATCCCACAACTTGTGCACTTTTGTATTTAGACTACTTAACACCCTAGATATTGAGGAATAAAAAAAAAAACCATCGGTTCTTTATTATTTTTTTGACCGTTCCTGAAGGAAGCACTTTAGCCCTTCCCTCAGTCTATCTGCGAGCACTTGAGCCCTCTCAGAAAGAACATAAAAATTATTTTTATCTGGCTTTTAGCCATATTTTTTCAACACGATTAACAGTCGAATTCCGACTCGAATCTCGTGAACTACTCCTTATCCCAAACCATCTGTTCAACCATTCCATACCGACTCCTCAACACTCCAACTCTCACGTCTCCAAAGATCCCGATTCACCCGAACTCAATATGGCAACCGAGGTAGTACGCGAATCAAAAATCCTTCTCACTCCCGATAACTATGCCCTTTGGCTGCTTCCGATAAAAGCCAAACTTCATAAAGCTAAATCACTCACCATCGTTACTGGAGCGCATACCTGTCCTGACCCTAAAGAAGACAAAGAAAACGCCCGACTCTACGTCAAGCTCAACGAAGATGCGTACGCAGAAATCGTCCAACATCTCAATCAAGAAATCCTTGCGTATGTCAGTTCCACCTTACCCGAGGCCGACGAATTCAACGGGTACAAACTCTGGCAACTCCTCAAGCAAAAGTACGCCGGCAACGATCTAACCTCCAGAACCACTGCCCTCAAGAAATACCTTGCTATCAAATACGACTCGTTCTCGTCGTTTCTCCCTCTCGTTCGATCGGCTAATCAGAAAATCGTACTTTCAAAACTCGCTCTTGACGATCAAGTCAAGACTATACTGATGCTCGATAAATTGCCTCAAGAATTCCACTTGTTTAAAACCAACATCTCAATGAACTTCGAGACCGAACCGTTCGATCAGGTATTAAAGAAACTTGAAGATTTTGCTGCTCAAAATCAACTAAACGAAATCAAGAAATCTTCGGTGTCGTCGATCTCTTCTCAAGCCACTATGTTTACTCAATCGTCTAACCCCGAGATCACTTGTCCTCATTGCAAACGAGGATTCCGAGCCTGTTCGCATTGCTTCAAGAGCGGCCACACCGAAGCCAATTGTTTTCAAAAGCACCCCGACAAACGCAAACTCAATCCAGTCGCTTCCTCGTCCAAACAACAGTCAACACACCTCACTCACTACACTCAAGAAGATGAAGAATACCTACAGCAAAAATATCCAGACCTCCATCTCTAACTGTTCGATCTCTTGCTCAGGAGGGGTGTTGAATTTTTCGCTCTTCGATCTCACTCTCTCCTCCTTTTTTCCTCTCTGTCATCTGTCACTCGTTTATCACCGACTTTTCTCTTATTCAATATGCATAAGTTTCTGATCCCACAACTTGTGCACTTTTGTATTTAGACTACTTAACACCCTAGATATTGAGGAATAAAAAAAAAAAACCATCGGTTCTTTATTATTTTTTTGACCGTTCCTGAAGGAAGCACTTTAGCCCTTCCCTCAGTCTATCTGCGAGCACTTGAGCCCTCTCAGAAAGAACATAAAAATTATTTTTATCTGGCTTTTAGCCATATTTTTTCAACAGCTTTTGAAAAAAATCAATTTTATTTTTTATTTTCACAAATTTTGAAACTTTATTTTTTATTTTTATTTTTTTCATATTCATTTTCTGTGACATATCATGCAGCATCTGACCAAGTCTCATGACTTCAAGTCTGTGTATTGGAGCTCTGGAATCCAATATAAGCAGCCACTTTTCACTGTCTACCCACTGTACATGTTGTACACATATATACTCTTTCTTCCTCCTCATGTATTTTCCCCCTTATGCTATGTATGCTATGTACCTTGCCTGAATTATCTTCTAACCATAGTCTTAGAAATCAGAATACTAGTATCACCCTTATATCCTTACCAGATATCATTGCCAGTTATATTTGCCAGCTATACTTTGCCAGTTATAAACCCCCTTGCCAGTTATAAATCCTCATTTGCCAGATTATCACCCTTTGCCAGTGCCATTCCTCATTCCCAGTCTTACACTCTTGCCAGTATTATCCCATCACACCTCACTCCTCCTCCTCACACCTCATTAGGTACTACTTACACAAGCTCATCAGTAATAGTAGTCTAAGATAAAGTAGAAAGCAGCCACACCTTTATTCTTCTTTTTCTTAGTGTTACACTCTTCCCATCAGCATTGTACAGGAGGGCAGCCTCATCAGCACCTGTAGTATCAACTTACATTAGCTAGTGTAGTTGTCTATATCCCCTCCAAAATCTATCTCCCTGGTTGAGTAGTTCCACATCGTCCTCTTCAGGTTCACCAGGGGCATCTTCATCGATGGATGCTGAACAGATCTCCCTTGATAGTCATCCAGTTTCTCTGCGCTTCTCCAATCCTTGATTCCTTTTTGCATGTTACTTCTACAAGAGCCTGGGTCTGAAAGAGTAACAACGTCATCAGTTTGACCAACTGTGTTTGGAATCCAATTGTTATATTTTTCACCTAATGGGTTTCTGAAAGTACGATTGGAAGGCAGGGGGTTTATTTGCAACTGGGTTTGATGATGACTCAAGCTGGGAGTTCCAGAAAGTGGGAGATAAGAGGAGACAGAAACGTGATCATTTTCTTGGGGATTACCTCATCTAGCCATCATTTGGTTTTGCCAGTTTTGGGATTGAGAATTGGAGGTTGGTTGATTATTACTCCATGACTGATTTGTCATTGTAGTAGAACAATCAAGACAGAAATAGGACAAGAGGCTGGAGTTGTTTTGAGGGATCAGAACCAAGGGAAATGTGTGGTTGGGAGAGAGAACAAAAGGTTGCGAACAGAAATTCAAATGAGTTCCTTTTTTTAGGCTGAGCTGCAGTGAGGTGAGTTCATGTTTTTTCACACAGTGGTTGAACTTATTGCGGGCACAGAAACAGCTTCTCTTGTGCAAGCATCCAGGGTCTCTCTCCAAGAATCAACCAAAAAATGGATGACGAGGGTGAGTTCAGATTTATTTCTGATAATATGTATCAATGACTCAAGTTAACATGAATCCACCAGGTTTCATACAACACAAGACGGAGAATGGAATTCTATACAGATGTGATGTTTGCGGACCCAAACTTACAACGCTGGGCCAGCTACGCTAACCGTAGCGGTTAGCGCAGCGTAACGTAGCGGAATTCCACGCAACTTTAGCGTAGCGTAGCGGGATTCCGCCACGACACCGCTAACGCTACGCGTGTGGGCCGCAAAAAAGGGCACACTACGCTGCGCTACAGCGCTTTTTAGCGGTTTTTGGCCGCTTTTTCCGCTAAAAGCGCTGTAGCGCAGCGTAGCGTAGCGAAAAACCGCTACAAAAACGCTAACACTACCGCTTTTGGATGAAAAAAAAGCGCCGCTACGCTACGCTTTTTGGGCCAAAAGCGTAGCGTAGCGTAGCGTAGCGTAGCGGCCCACCGCTGAAACTTATGCAAGAAAAACAGAGGGTCCGACACAAATGATCTGATGCACACAAAAAGAGAGTGAACGACTGGGACAACTTTCCCTTGCACCACAAAAGCGCTGTTAAACCAGATGAAAGATGGTTAGAGGCTCCGATTGAAGACCCAGTGATTGATTCCTTGGATTTTGAACCTGAACAGGATACTTCTCCATTGTTACCAAATTCACCCACCACAATCTCAATGTTACTTATCCAGCAGCTTCAGCAAGACAAGGCAAATGAAGAGAGTCCTAGTGAAGATCAGAGCCCTCAAATCAACTGGAAGGACTGGTTGGAAGTCGAATTAGAGAGGATTTGGAGAGATTTAGACTTGGATGATCCACGTGACAAGTTTAACAAGAATGAGGAGGACAATATTCCTGGGCAAGAAGATCAACATGAGTGGACCCCATTTAAAAGTAAAATGGTCAGTGATATGCTTGGAATATTGAAATCACATGAATGCATTAAATAAACAGAAACAATAAGCTAATCTCTACATTCTTTGAACAATCTAGGAGTTTGTTGGATCAATACTTGTTGGTTATACTCAAAATTTACTTTCCAGGACTTTGTTCGACATGATATGTGTGATACTTAATGGACTGTGTCAGCTCAAGATCCCTGCGTGGTCTACAATTAGGCGTTCACAGAAAAGGATCAGGGCGCATTTTCAGATGGAAGTTATAATGAAAGACAGTGTATGGGGTATGCCATGTGCAGCCCTCAGTTCAAGATGTGCACTTCAACAGGTATGATACCAATTCCCACCAATCATCACTAGAGACTGTATGGGTAGACCAAACTATTTATTAATTCCATCTTATGATTGTATTCAGGATCTAGCCAACCCTCTTGTAGCACCTTTCATCCATTTTTATCCAGAAGATCCTCAAGGATGTAACCAGTACAAGTTGTCCCAATTGCAAAATTGGCTTGAAATGCCATCATCATTACAAACACAGATGTGTGTAAATAATAAAAAGCATTTCTACATTTTTGAACCCGTCAAAACTTATTCAAATCAGATTCTAGTTCCAATTTTCCTATACCTGATTGATGGCGAGTTACATGCAAAGTGTGCACTTCCAACACTCAAGAGGATCAGTCATTCAAAATTCCAGTTGGAAATTGAAGGCAACCTCACTTTTGATGATCCAAGTCTTTTTCTTGTTCATACAAAGGAATTCAACAAGGAATACTCTGAAATCAAAATAGATCGTGATCTTTTATCTACGGTGTGTGTGAATGAGTTGTATGGAATGAACAACAATATTTCAGTCAACACCAACTTACCAAATCCTTGGAGGACTAAAGCTGGAGGGAAAATCTTACAACATGTGCCAATCAGCTTGTATGCTGATGACACTTCTGGAAATATTTTGAAGCACTGGAATAAACACCTATCTTTTTACTTCACTTTATCTGGACTTCCTCCAAATATGTCCAACCAAGAATTCAATTTCCACTTCTTTGCTACTTCGAATTGAGCTGGTGTTTTAAAGTGAGCCGAGATTATTGTTGATGAATTAAAGTATGTAGATTTCCTTCATAATAGATTTGGGATCCTGCTAATTTCTGTTTTTGAATATTTGTGAACCTTTGAATTTTGATGTAGTGACCTTGCCACCAATGGATTTGAAGCATACAATGCAGCAATTTCTGAGCCAGTTTTTGTCATGACTAGTGTTCTATTCTTTCTAGGGGATTCTCTGATGCACTCCAAAATAACCAACACTCCTTATCCTGGTTCTGCACTTAATCCGTGTTGTATTTGCACACTCTCTGTCCCAAGCCTAGCCGCCAAACATCAAAAGCATTTCCTGTACAAATTCTTGCATCTTGATTGACATGGAAACGTGACAAGAAATCAACCCAGAGTGTGGCTAGAAACCGTCAAACAGACTCACAAGCTTTTCAAGGTGGCGACAGAAGATACTATTGTGGCTTTTGAAACTCTGTCAAAAGAGTATGGCATCAAAGATTGGATTAACAAGAATTTCATCGAACAGCAAGGGATTGCTGAAGTCAAAGCAAAAATTGATGACCTGAAGGCCAATAAATTTTCACGCTTGTTCAACCCCTTCTTGAGACTAATAGGTCAACTTCATCATAGATCCAGCAATTTTTTCTTGGTTTCATATTGATTGCTTTTCCAATACAGGTTTTGATGGCTGCCTTGACACTCCGGTTGAGATTCTTCACGTTTTTTTACTTGGGGTTGTCAAGTATCTGGTCCACGATTTTGTTGGCAAGCTCTCTGAGAAACAAAAAGACGAACTCAAGGGCCGTATCAAGTCATTCAACACCAGCTTGTTGAATATGCCAAAGCCGAAACCCAAATATCTAGTTTCACATGTCAAATCATTAATTGGCAAGGAGTTTAAAATATTCCTTCAAGCTGCTCCATTCATCCTTTTCCCTTTTATGGATGAAGATCAAAGAGAAATTTGGATTTCTTTATGCACCCTCTCTTCTTATGCCTTTCAGACACACATCAATAACATGGAAGATTTCCAGCTCAATCTTCAAAAACACTCAGCCAACTTTTTATATCAGATCATATGAGTCACTGCCCAGTGGGTGAACAAACCAAAGTTTCATATTTTACTAAATCTTGCGGATTCTATCCGTTGGTTTGGAATTGCTACACTCTTTTCAACGGAAAAGTTTGAGTTGTATAACGGTGTTCTCCGGACTGCATCAACCCATTTGAATCAAATTTGCCCTGGAAGAGACATTGAAATTAAGTTT